TTTTTTTAGCAGCTGTCAAAACAATGTTTCCAGAGGAGGCCCTTTTAAGAAGTTCCCATCTAGCTAAGCTTGTGACAGTGTTAGCATAGCTAATTTCAAAGTCATTTAATATTTCCAGTAACAAGCTTTTTGATTACAAGTAGTGCAGTAGCCTATAGCTTCTCCAGCAACAGTTTCAAAGTAGTTTCCTCAACATAATACTGACCGTTAGCTTGCCAGGCTAAGAAATACATTGGCAACACTACGTCTCTCCCTCTTCCCACTGGGATGTTTGTTCTTGTGACACATTTGGATTTGGCATAGTCAAAAAGAAACCCGAAACCCATCCCAAGTTTGAAGCTGAATAAGAGCTATAAAACAGCCCAAACCTGACCGGAAACCTAATAACAGGTAGCAGAATATTTTGGCTTTTTGGTAGTTACAATATTCAGACATTTTTACAGTGTCGTGTTGACAGACTGCTTTATTTGTCCAATCAACAGTTTAAACCCCAAGGACATTGATTTAACTATCAAACCAACAAATATTAACATTTTGAGAATGGCATAAATGATTAATCAATCATTAAAATTTCCATCTATAATTTAGTATAATAATTGATTTACTAATCAGTTCTAATTTCAGTTGTAGTCCAAATGCACTATTTACTGTAATCTTAGACTCGATACCCCAAAAGACTCAAACATACTGTGTTTTTTTCAGCTACATGCCAATAGGGATCCTGTTCCTAATTGCTGCTAAGATCATCGAGGTGGAAGACTGGGAGATCTTCAAGAAGATGGGTCTTTATATGGTGACGGTGCTGAGTGGGTAAGCTGTCCCATTACTCTGTATCCGCCTGTTCCAGACGCTGGGATTTATGGTTGACATTTGGGGCGATTCTCCCTCCAGTGATACAGTAAAAGCTGAGCTCTGTGTGGGCACTGATAAGGGCCAAGGACATTTAAAACTGCTCAACCTGCAGATGCAGTAATGAAATCTTGGCGCGTGCCTCTAAATCTAAGTGACACCATTAAAGACTGTACTGTAAATCCCTTCCAGTTGGGTCACAGGGTTAGTCCAAGGCTCTGAGTGCTCCTGTGACGACATGTGCACGCAATGTTCACACTTTGTTGTCGATGTTCTGTATGCAGCATTTAGTGCCTATAAAAAACTTTGTCGTGTATTATTGCTTTCCAACTTTGAATTACAGTCTATGTAATTAAGAATGTCTGCCACGATCAACAAAAAATTACTCTTTAATGTCAAAGTAAAGTCATATCTCTGCAAATGTACAATTTTATAACCAGTGAAATCAATTTAAAAGTCATTTCACTGACATTTCAGCTTGTACTCCGTTTATTTAAGGACCTTCATCACTTTATGCCTAGGTCATTTTGATCTTTCAAGTTTGTCTTTGTGGAAGGCTGTTAGCCTAACTTAGCATAAAGACTGGAAGCAGGGGAAAACAGCTAGCCTACTGATTTACTCGCTGTATCTTTGTTTTATCTGTACATAAACAGAAATGTGGAGAAGTACCAAGATTGGTGTTGGTAGGCATTGTTTTATGATTTTATGACAAAAAGGTATTTTCATAAAAAAATTACCTACTGCAGCTTTAATGGGGCAACTGAATAGTAATAAATACAATTATATTTAACTAAAAGTACTTTTTCGCGTGATGATTATAGATAGAGAATTCCCTTACAACTCGCTACATTGTTCTATAATGTGTCTCTGTTTTGTCCCTCAGTCTAGCTATCCATGCCACCATCTGCCTGCCACTCATCTTCTTTGTTATTGTGAGGAAGAACCCATATACATTCACACTGGGAATGGCTCAGGCCCTGGTGACAGCACTCATGATCTCCTCCAGGTCAGAATCCACTGAGCTACTCACTCTGCTTGTAAAGCTGAATCCTATTCCTATTCTGTAACACTAACCTCCACATTTTCATATTCATAAGGTCACAATAATGAAGCCAGTCAATGTCTTGTCTTCCAGTTCTGCCACCCTGCCTGTCACCTTCCGATGTGCCGAGGAGAACAATCGCATCGACAAACGGATCACCCGCTTCGTCCTCCCAGTGGGTGCCACCATTAACATGGACGGCACAGCACTCTATGAGGCGGTGGCCGCTATCTTCATCGCGCAGCTGAATGACTATGCTCTGGATGTGGGCCAGATTGTTACTATCAGGTACATCGTAGTTAATCAGAGGCACAAAATACAACTTCTGATACTATAAAATACTGCTTATAATACTATAAAATACGAATGTGGTTGACCAAGGTAGAAATTTCTTGCTGACTCCAATTATACCCTGTCTGGGAAACATAAAAACATAAAACTGAAGACAACATGTAAAACAACAAACATTAACAACATGAAAAACACATCAAAAGCATGTACCAAGGAAGCTATAACTGACTAACTAACTAACTTTGGTGTCTGATGAGTAATTCATTCCTTAAAAGTAATAATCTCAAAGATTTTCATTAAAGTAAATGTCTGTTTATAGCTACTATCTTTTTGGCGAATTATGTACTACAACAGGGATTGAGCCTATTGCCCACTGATGAAAGCCTGTGGCAACATTCCCGGGGGGAAAATCAAAAGCAGCCCACAGCAATAACGTTGCAAAGCGGCTGAAATCGCAAGATCAAAAAATCACATTAACATGAATTTTGCCAGGCCTCAATTTATGCGTGTGACCAAACTACAGTGGTTCAGACCAAACAGCGTTCTTTGAGGAGGTACTGGCAGCTACGGGGGTGGATGCTAGGTCTGACGCAGCGATAACACACTGTTCGTTAAACAACAATGGTGGCTGCTAAAGCGGTTAGCGTAGATGCTGCTAGCATCAGTTATATCAAAAGAGCAAAAAATGTCACTGAAGGCTTTTCTCGATGGAAAAGAGTTTTTGCTCTTCTACCGACTGACTTCAGTAAGAGTTTATCACCACAGACTTGCTCTTCAACTGACCTGTGTGTAAAGTGGCATCCTCTTTTTGTCTGGTCACTGCTAGTCTTAAACGGTCACTATGGCTGAACAAAGAAAAGATCAATGACTACAAACAATGGAAAATGGAAATGAAAAACTGCCAACTGACTGACGTCACATGGGCTACACTGTTTGGATCTCTGGGAATGAGGTCCAGAAACACCCTTGCACTTACTGCTTACTGCCATAGGAGACCTTCGAGATAGTTTGAATGTAGACACCTTTAATTCATGCATCAGAGCTAACATTTGCTATTTTTGTCGCTCATCGAAAGCTATATTGCAACAGTCTATTCTCCATTACCAGTGTTTGCCCTTCCATTTTAGAAACAAATCAAAGCTTACTGTTGATAGGAAACTAAAGTAACACATTTTGCCAACCCATCTGTCCAACACAACCTCTTCACAAGTTCTGCTTTTGCTCCTGACCGACAACCGTAATAACCTAGAGGGATTCATCAGTTTTCCTTTGGAGGGCAGTCTCCTGACTTTTGAGGGTAGGACTATGCACATCCGTATACCTAGAGATGTCCTCTGTAAATGTAAAAACTGCAGCTTAATTTGAGATGAGTGTTTACTAAGCAAATATTGTGCCCTTTGCATTATTATAAGCTACTGTTTTGGTACATTTATACTGCATATATCTCAGTACCAAAGGTTCTTCTGGCTCACACAAACAGTTAGCATCTGCTGCCATTTGGGGCCACTGATGTGCAAAATTCTGTCTTTTTGTTTCAGTATAACTGCAACAGTTGCCAGTATTGGAGCAGCAGGAGTCCCTAACGCTGGGCTTGTGACCATGGTAATAGTCTTAACAGCTGTTGGACTACCTGCAAGTGATGTCACTCTGATTGTGGCTGTGGATTGGCTGCTGTAAGTTTATCCGTTGACTTTCTGTCTGTCTTATCTTTCCTACTAAATTCTAACCTAAGAGTGATGCTGTGGATTGACTTTGTGTTGTGTTTCAGGGACCGGTTCCGTACTATGATCAACGTTCTTGGCGATGCTTACGGAGCCGGAATCGTCCAGAAACTCTCCAAGAGGGAACTGGAGAGAATGGATCTGACATCAGACGTGGACGTCGCCAACCCCTTTGCCCTGGAAGCCACTTTGGATGACGAAGAGTGCGAGAAGAAATCCTACGTCAATGGAGGCTTTACCGTCGACAAGACAGATGCAATCTCCTTTACTGAAACCTCCCAGTTTTAGCCTCTGGCTGGCTCAGAGGAGCAGAGAAAGTGCCATGCTGCTATGGGTGTCAAATGGAAAACCTTCCATCGTGTATCAGCACCATGACGAGAGAGGAAAACTATCCAGCCAGACCCATCTAAGCTCAGACATCAGCAATAGCAGCCTCCATTAAGCTTATCCAAGATGATCACCCTTCATGTCGGACATTTACAGCCACGACTAGATTAAAGTGCTTCCTTCTTACACTCAAATTGTGCCAAGATTAAGAAAAGTCTGTTTTCTTTTGAATAAGAGTGTGTTCTTTCTTGTAAAGATGCATTCAAAAGAAGAGCTGTGTGTGTGTATGTGTGAGGACATTTGTTTTGGATGTATTTGAGGTGTGTGTATGTATTTTGCAAAAAAGAAAATATCAATTGAACACAAGCAAAAACAAAACAATAATCTAAATGTGAAACTTCAACAACCCTACTTTATTTACTCCTGGGATAGACAATAACTCTCTAAATGTGTGAATGTTTTTTTTTTTGTGTGTGGCTGTTGTAACTTCTATGTCCCATAATGCACTGCTTGTATATCTATCTGTATATTTAAACTGTGCCAAACATATGAAGAGGTTTTTCACCGAGTTGCATGAAGCAATATGTTAAACAAATGCTTACCGCGGGCTGCAGACTGATTTTTTAATGGACACTTCACAGAGACTGGAGATGGTTAACAAAGGCTCATGAAGTCATTGAACACTGTGAAATTTGAGGACATTTTTTCAGAACCAAATCACTAACTTGTATTGATTTATTGCAAAGTATAATGATCATAAATAGTGTCTGTGTTTAGGAAGCAAGGGGGGATGACAGTACATTAGATAGCCCAAATTATACCTTCTCAAACTATTTTAATTGTCACTTAATGAATGTATGTGTCAATAATAATAATTATAATTTCCCTACTCTATTTTCACTGTGGTGTAGAGGTAAAATATGTTCAAATGCTCTTAAACCAATGCCGTGTGGTAAGCTTTCATCTGGTAAACAAAATTTTGCATGTTCTAGGAATTTTTGTTTAAAGAAGACACAAAAACCCTTGGGCACATTTGTCACTAAGGATTAGTTTGACATTTTGGGAAATACACTTTCTGCTTTCTTGCAGAGAGTGAGATGAAAAGGTCCACATCAATCTCATGTCTGTGCATTAAGTATGGAGCTAAAGCCACAAGGAGGTTAGCTTGGGTTGTAAAGACTGAAAGTGAAGTGAAGTTCAATTGTGGTTTTTAGATTTCTGTTTATTGTCTATTATAGTTATTCTTAATGCCTGCCACCGGGTCAGATTCCCCTATGATATCAATTAAATGAGGAGGTGGAAACACAACTGTTTTGGTCCACAGGGGCCGCCAGCTTTAAGTACTTACTGCACAAACATGGGAAAGGTATCGATTTACCAAAACGTTGAGTTATTTCTTTGATACAAGCCGCAAAAAAGTAGGTTCAAATGCAGCAGTAAAGAAAAACATTAACAGTTAGCTACAACACCTTTGTCTTTGGTAGTTTCCGAGGCAACCTTTACATTAAAACTCAATGTTGACCAGGATTAGAAAGTTCAGAACAGCAGTGTTACTTATAACAACCCTTAAAAATGAGCCAGTCCATGACAATGTCTGTTTATAGCCATTGCTTATAGGGCTGCAAACCTTACAACCTGAGCAATTAACCCTAACAATTACAGAACTTTATAGTAAATTTTACTTTGTCTTAGCTGCATCAGGTTTTATGTCATGCTCATGAATTTGAACTACTGAAAGTAAGTCATCAGTACGTGAGGTAATCTGCCTGCCATCACAGATGTAGCCATTCAGCATACATGTGCCATATTTCTGTTACATTTGCAACTTGCTAGTTAGCATGAGTAAACATTTTGAGAGTCTGAGAGAGCTTAAGATTTTCTTCTGTGGAGGGAGTGAAGATAAAAGACCTAACTTGTGTGTTATTATATCCAAACGTTACTTCAAAACTTTTGTTAGCTAGTTTGCAACAATATTGCAATATTCAAAATATAATAACAGTCAGAAAAAAGTGCAAAAGTGCAAAAAAAAGGGTTGGGAATTGCTCCCACAGGGATTGAAGAACTATGAGAGAAACTAATAGCTAAATAGTAAAACTATAATTATTTCAAGGTACTACACACAGATCTGTTTTTTTGTTCTTTTTGATGCTAAAATGTGCTTTTGCTACTTCCAGCCTAGATGCCTTGTTAGCTTCTCACTAGCTAAATGTGATGCAGACAAGACCTGCAAGTCAAAGTGTCAACCATGATTGACATTTGTGTCCAATTTGGCTGTGATTGGCTGGCTGCACTGCTAGAACACAACATAGCCACAAACAAGGCTGTAAGTCTAAAACTGGGCTTGTGGCCTTGGTTTATCACCTTGGGAGAACAATTGTGTGTGTGGTAAAACAGAATTTGATCAGTTGGTGGATAGGAAGATAACTGATTGATATTTGATTTGTAGATTTATCAAGGAAAAAACTTAGCTGGTTCCAACTTCCAAAATTGAGGATTTGCTGCTTTTGTCAGCTTTATATCATCAAAAATGTTATCGCTCTGGGCTTTGTACTGTTTCTCGGAGAGAAACAAAACTTTTAAAGATGTCACCCCAGTTGTCTATTAAATTGTGATGACATAATTTCAGATATTACATAGACTAAAAGATTAATACAAAATTGACAGAAAATAATTATGTTACCAATGTAATTATGGTATATGTTAAGCTGATATTTAGACAGAGGATGGTGCAAGAGGAAAGATCCAAAATAGGGGAGCAGCAATGTACTTAGTTAATTTTATGCAATTAGTCATTACATTTTGATAGTTCTTGTGTAGCGGCAACGATGTGAGTCTGACGATGGTGATCGGTTAGCCAGTACTTTTTTAAATACTCTTGTTCCGTCCAGGTGGAGAGACCAACAAACATGCCTCGCCTTCCTTAAAATGTCAATGAAGGTTAATGCTTTTACGCAAATGCCACAAATGATACGAATGCTTGTACTTATGTCAGGCCCCTGGCTGCACTGTTGCTTGTGATGCTCACAGCTTGTGATGCTTGTAGTCTTATGCTTTTTTATAAAATGTATGTCTATGTCTGTAACTGAGAGCTGTGTTGGCTCCATGCAGCAGCTGCATACTATGATGCTTGCACATGCACATACAGTACTAAACCTTGGAATAGGCAGTGTGGAGTTGTTTAAATGGTGAAGTTAACTTGAAAAAGACGTGACGTGGGAGCTGAGGTTTATCTGTGGTACTATTTATGCTATTCATATGTTTGAATGTATGCAGCAAGTATTCCCAGTGCTGGTGCTATAATGATAATCCCAGCATGATAATCAATATCATTGATTAAAAGCGGTCCTCTTTGCTTACTTTCCACCATCGCTAGTCTGAGCCAAATACCTTTCCAATCTCCTGGCAGAAAATACAATAATCCATTGCAACATTGCTCAATGACATTGACATATTATCCATCACATGCTAAGGGAGGTACGATTTACATTCATTACAAAACAACTACAAGCTTCTACTTAGTAGTTTTCTCAGATTGTGGTAGAAATTAAACTGCCAGAGTAGCTACAGCACAATATTGTACTGTACAATGTGTTCCATTTGAAGTCGCAAATTAGTTAAGACAAGCTAATTTGGAAAAAATCAAGTAAAAATTTTCTTTTGTTTGCTTCCAAAACACTTAACAATGCTAGTAGCTAGGTTGGCATTGAAAATTAGCCACTGTTAAAAATCGTAAAAATTCCTTGCAAGGTAAATAAGCTGATTTCAGTGGTCCAGCTTGAAACTATCACAGAAGAGATTTTCTTTGCTTGATGTAAAATACTGTTCTTAAGCAACAGCTAATGTGTCAGTACTTTGCAACGTTAGCTACTTAGCATAGAAAAAAAACAGCAAGTACTTTATCTTGCAGCTTGATCCTTAACCAAGTATAATTTTGATAGAGGTTATGAAGTGTTGAAAATTCTAACTTTGTCTATTTTCAGAATAACAAAAATGTTCAATAAAGTAATGGTGTTTACAGAGTGCTGACAGGTTTAGTGAGATTCCACATGACTATATCCTTGGGGATAACATATCTTGCCTAAGTTCCTTATCTTGGGCTTCGTGTTAAAAGGTCATTCCATTACTCTTCCCATGAAGTCAAAGTTTTCAAATCCATTGTAGTCCAAGTCTCAGTGTCTCCATATTAGTCGTCCCTACACTGCCAAAAGGGCCACTTGTTTGTAATTCTATACTGAGATAAGCCCTCGCAAATCAGGTTGTATTCTACATTTCAGAAGCACACTGGCATCAACCAACCCCTTCTCTGTACAGACAACTATTTGAGTATCTATAGTATGTGAATCAACATGTACTACATTGTGTGTAACTGCAAGCAAATAAAAGAAAGTTGCTCATTTTTTGTCTGTTTGTTGTTTTTATTTTTGATTACATTATCCACCACAGTATGGATAATGAGATGGTTCACTGTCATTTAACACCAATTTTCTTTAAAGGAATACAGAAGTTATGGTAAAAACCAAGTTGCTTGGGTGAAAAGTAATGAAAAAACTTATTATGCTTTAGGAATACAGGTCAGTGTCTTTGAAAAATACAGAAATAGTCGCACTAATATGAAAAACGTGACTTTTGATTCTAGAAAGTGGATCTGTTGATTGGTTCATGCTAAATAGCTGTCATGAATTCATCCATAACACTTTGAGTACTTCTTATCCAAGTTGGCTAATCATGACAGTTGATTCTTGGAAAAAGTAGTTTGACAATCCTAACTCAATAGCCTGGCATCATAACCTCTGAGTTTGTTTTCATATGATGTCAAAGGGTCATTATCAATGGGGGCATACCAAAATGGACCATTTACAGTATATATAATGGACAGAGCTTCCGGGTCTGTAAAGTGAAGTCGATGTGGAACTGTCTTAAACCTGCATTCTATGTAATGGCCAGCAGGGAGCAGCTCCATTGGCTGCATTAAAATACCATATAGTCTTGTGGAGAAATGAGCCGACTTTTGACTTAAATTATTAGCTCAGTAAACAGTTTCCTAATGAGTTTATGGTCTCAATCTCTAGTTTCAAGTCTTCCATTCAGCATGATGTTCATTTAGTTTAAACGACCATGAAACATTAAATAAACATTATGCAATAGGGTTTACGCTTAAATGTGTTGATGTTTTCATCAGTTCTTCATTATCTTAGTATACCTGATGCAGGTGATTAGCCACTTACATATATAATGTATGTACAGTGCACAGTGTACTGCATCTTACAATTTCTGCCAAAACTTGCTAAAATAAGACTGATTAATACGGTCACTTTAAGGAGCCTTTTGCTTGGTGTGTGGAGATGAAAGAAGGCAGGGTTTTAACTTCTCGCTTGTATTTGTCATTATTCACACAACTACTCCAGAGTGTAACACCATAAAGGCCTTTAAGGAGGTACTGTCTGAAAATGTGTATCGTTATAGCCAGTTGAATCATTTATTGATCTCGTACCTCTTTATGACAGCATGCTTTTCATCTGCCAGAATATGGTCATCACTATGGTTCTGTGCAGACCATCACACTACTGAGGATCAGCTTTCAGTTCTCCAAAGGCTTCACCTTCTTGCTTGCTTCAAAGAAGTAGTCACCTGAAATTGGACTAATAGGGTTTTTCCATTGTACTTGGCAGGGGGATATCTCCGAGCCATGCTATGAAGAACCGTGAGCACAACTCAACAGTTTTTTCCATTACAATGCGTCAGCGCAGTAAAGGCATTGTCTAAATTGCTCATGGTGTGCGGTGACTTTCTAGCGCCTCACCTGATCAGAGCAAAGCATTTCTCCTTATGTTCAACATGGAGCTCTTGGTGCTTGGCGACCTTTTTTGGTAAAACCTCATAAGCTACGGTCTCCCGACAGTTCCGAACTGTCTGTTATTTATAGCATTATTTAAAGACTTCAGTTAAAACTGAACAAGCAAACCACAAAAAAAATCAGCACTGCCACTAAGGCCTATAGTTTGACTGCTTATTACACCAAAATAGAGTTCTGTTTCAGCAGCCATTCTGCAGTAGATCTCAATGTTCCTGATACAGCCAGTGCTTAATGCCTCACAGTCATACAGTCGTGAGCAGCTATTTCTCTGATATATGGCAGTAGTTCACACAGAGCTGCATCGCCATAGACACAATTAGCTTTTAATGGCTTTTGGTTGATTTATCTTAGGACTCGACAATGTCAGCTTGATAGATTAACGCGATGGGGACTTATGACGTCAAACTGCCTCCTGGCTGCGTTCAAAATGAGATTCACAAATGAGAGAGAGTTTCAATTCTAAAAACTTTATTTTAACATAAGACAACTTATTTTGCCAGTCATTAATACAGGGTGTGTGGACATGTATCAAACCACTGCAGTGAAATACCTCTAAGTTTTGCACACACACAAATATTAGGAGAGTCTTGATATCTGAAGACTTCATTGGCAAGGTGATGGTCTCTCTCCCTGAAGGTGAGGAAAAAGACATATATGTGACATCACGCACATATAACAACAACACAACTCTGCTTTACTGCCTCGGAAAGGTTGTCCTAACTTGGCATTTGTGGGACAGTTTAGCACTTACAGACATTGGGGGTGGTGAGTCACTTAATAGGTTAATAAGTCTTGTTACTGCTCTCCTTACAATTTTTGTCAAATCAAACTCCATTTTTCCTACTATTTAGCATTTAGAGCCACTATATTAACTAAATGGTTTATAACCCACTATGATGTACTTGTAAGCCAATATGATTGTTAATTGGTGTATTTTTAAACAACTATAAGTTATATAAAAGGAGGCTGCAACACAGTTATAATAATATAAAAATATATCTTCCTAGGAAAACATTTAAGAAAACATGATATTACATGATTACATGCATCTTAACCACTAGGTCACCTGGTCGCCCCAAGAGGGCAGAATTTTTTAAAGACAAAAGTGAAGACACAGAGCAGGTCCACCTCACCTATCCACAGCCTGGCCTGCTCATAATGGTGGACCTGGAGAAATGGATCTCCTGGCTAAAACCTTGTCTATTTCGGAGTGTGTGGCCCCCTAAAACACAATAGCAGTCACATTCTTCATCATCATTGCATCTTTAATCTGTGATGTTTGGTGCATTCAAACTCAACATTTCCTGCAGCTGTTTCAAAACAAAAGTCTAGTAAGAATGGGAGGGAATGACACATGATCAACATCAACTTGAAACAAAAGCAAATCAGAAAAAATATTTTTGAAAATATATATAAATATATAAAAATAAAGGAATGTCTATAATACAAGCCTGTTTCAAATAAAGGTCTGGTTCCCTCTGCAGTTGAGGTCAATTTCTATAAGAAATTATGATAATTAAAAATAAAATACAATTACAGTTTCTATGAAGAGTAACTTTTGAAGGCAGTTCCTATTCAGATAACAGATAACACATGGGTACAGCCCACTGAAAGGAGTGATTTTCCGATTAGACATCTACAACTACAATATTGCAACAACTGAACCAATATTTTGGCCTGTATGAATGGCAACAAGTCTGAACACCAGACTGAAACAGATACTGATGCTGTGATATCTAACACAGAGCCTAATGGCATGTATTACTTACATAGACAAGTCGGCGTACAGCTTTTGGTGTTGTAAGGAGTCCTCGGACACGCTCTTGAACTTCTTCCCATTCTCTGTGAAAGCTGGACTGAGACCTAGTCATTATACCAATAGTCAGGGAAACCTTAGCTTGAGTGGCATTCTTATTAGTCATCATTACTTTTAAACATAACATTTCCAGTGTCATCTGCATTTGATTGCAGTTAGTCAGGTGAGACGTGCAATATCTACACATCCTGATTTTGCTAAGTGAGAGTGTCATTGCAGAGAGTGCCTTTAGAGTTAGGTTAGTAATTTAAGTTATTAGTTAAATACATGTAAAGTGAGCTTAATAAGTGACAAAAAATCTCACAACATTTTTCCAACCAAACTCTCGTCACGTATTTGACCCTGTTGAGATCCACTGTAGCTGGCATATTTTCTCCCAACTTATATGGAATCCTAATCGTTCTTTTCCATTTTTTTAGATTATTCTGTGTTTTGTTTGGGACTGTTGGAGGCCATTATATAGTCTAGATATTATTTTGGTGCAAGTTCTTGTCTCAAAGAATGATAAGAACACCTGCATGAATTAATTAAAATAATGCCTAAGTATCTATAAAAATCATCTATCCCAGACCATGTTTGTTCTGTAGATCTTCAGAGTTCTGAAATGCCCCCTTGAGGGTAAATGAATAATAGGTAGTTAACCCCTTAGAGGTCCAGGTCTTAAATCCACCATCGTTTTTATTGGTTGCAAAGTCTGAGTCATAGGCCCACCACCTCAGGAGTTTGGATGAATCGCCAAGTCTGCAGAGTTTGGCTGTTTCCTGCCAGGACTTCAAAAGAACAGCAAGCATAGGATAATCTGAGACCATCACTTCACCCTGTAGTTTATTATCTTTCAATAGGGCTGTTATTAGTATATCTTCTACCATTGTGCCTTCTATGTCTTTCCATTTTGCAGAGTAAGTTGGTGAGCATAGGCAAGCCAATATTTTATTCTAGCCCTTTTCCCTTGCCATATGTATCTTGATATTAACGTGTCCCAAATTGAAAATTGTTTTGGTGGTATCTCCACAGGCACATTGAAAAAGATAAAGTCATCGTGGAAGGATATTCACCCTAATTGACTCGATCCTGGAACTTAAACTCAGGAAAGGGATAACGTTTCATCTTTGCATGTCTGCTTTTATTCTTGAATTTAGAGGTCCATAATTGAGATCAAATATCTTGGAAAGGTTTTTGGCAGTGTTACTCCCAGATATTTGATACATTCTGCATCCCAGCTCCATTTGTAAAGGGTCTTTATCGCTAATGGAGGGTCATAATTAAGGGCTAGTAATGTTGATTTTATAGCCCAAAAGTAGGCTGAATTCATTTAGCATGTTCATTAATTTTGGGAGTGTGTGTGTAGGCTGCGTTAAAGTTATCAATATATTGTCCGCAAATAAAGCCAATTTCTGTTCCCCTGTGGACATTGTTACCCCCTTAATATCTGGCCTCTTATGTATCCATTGGCTCAGGGGTTCTATGAACAGGGCAAAGAGGAGTGGCGATGCACAGCACCCTTGTCTCGTGCCTTTTTCCAAAGTAAATGGGTTGGTGAGGTCACCAATAATTTAAATTCTAGCTGTGGGACTGTCGTACAGTGCTGCAAATGTCTTAATTATGGTTGTGTGGAGGCCACATTTTGCCAGTACTTTATATAAGAAAGTCCACCTTACAGAGTCAAACGCTTTCTCTGCGTCTAAGCTAATTAAAAGTGTTTCCAATTTTTTTGT